GACACTAAAGCCCTTGCCGTTGACAGTAATGCTTCCGTTGGCAGTGAAGCTACCGTTGACAGTGAAGCTTCCGTTACGGCCCTACTGGGACGCAACCGGGTTCTTCTCTGATGGTATTCGAGTTTGGGTATCCGGCCCCAAGTTAGTAGAGGCTTTCAAGGGGTGAGCCCCATAATGTAGGTAAAATCAAACAAGGAAGGTACATTAAATATACAAGAGTAGCACTTTCCTCTATATATATAATTTCCACCACCATATATGAATAAAATGTCACACAAGGGAATTATTACTACACAAAATATATACAGCTTCGTCTTCTTCCGAAGACACCGGACACTCGGCGACGCTTCCTCTGGGTAGCCTTTCCTGGTCTCCTCCTCCGTGGCCCAGAACCCACGATGAATCCACCCTGGCCACAGGCCAGCCAAACCACAATCCCACTGGGTGCCTCGTCGTGATGGCCTACAACCACGGTCCAGCCTGTAGCTGGCAGGTACTAGTCAGCTTCGCTGTTAGGCCACTCCTCGACTAATACTAGGGTTGCGAGCCCTAGGCAGGAGCCTCGTGTGACTCGCTGGTCACCCTCCTCGGTCGTCACCTCAGTAGGTGGTCTCTTCCACCAGCCAGCCCCGGATATGGCGAATCCCGTTATTGCCACTCCTCAGGCAGGCAATCATACGTTCAGCAGAGTTCGTCCGGGGGTGGCTCACAGCTTCTACAAAGCAGACTGGTGAAGAGACCTTGGCTGCTTTGGGTAGACTGACTCCACGTACCTCACAACCGTCCTAGGTTGACTCTGCAAACAGACACGTCATCAGTACTGGGGACACTACCTGGGGCCACTAGAAAACATCACTTACTAGCTTAGACACAAACGTCCACCCCTTCGCTCCATAGATGGCGTTCACTGCCTAAGCGCCACTTCGCCAGAGATCAGCAGCGGCTACTTCGCGAGCCGACTAGGACAGGAATCCAGCGCCTGTTGCCGGCATATCCTGTCACCACTAGATGGCGTTGTCCATGTTGTGGGGTTTTCGGGAGCGGACTCACAGATGGCGTTGTCGTCACTGCTCCGTGCTCCGACGATGGACTCGGGTCCGTAACAGCTACCGTTGACAGTGATGTTACCGTTGACAATGATGCTACCGTTGACAGTGATGCTACCGTTGACAGTGATGCTACCGTTGACAGTGATGCTACCGTTGACAGTGAAGCTACCGTTGACAGTGAAGCTACCGTTGACAGTGATGCTACAGTTGACAGTGAAACTACCGTTGACAATGAAGCTACCGTTGACATTGAAGCAACCGTTGACAGTAAAGCTCCCGTTGACAGTGAAGCTACCGTTGTCAGTAAAGCTACCGTTGACAGTGAAGCTACCGTTGACAGTGAAGCTACCGTTGTCAGTGATGTTGGCTGAGAGGGCTGTGGTGCAGGAGGACTCTGGGGGCGCCTGTGTAACTCACCTAGTTGTGCTTGCTGGGGGGGGGGGGAGGAGGAGGGGTTGAGCTTTGGCTCTTTGGTCCCGCCTCTCAACCGTATATTGACGTGTGACCGACCATTATCTTGCAACACCAACAGTAGTATAATAGAAAAAAAAGTTAGATAAGATAACGCGAGCTTTAAAATGATTAATTTTGAACTGTTTCCTTCGAGAAGATAAATTCAGGGACTGAGAAATATCTCGGGAGCCCGCGCTTTTCCCGATGGATTTGTCGGCTTCCAAAGGCAAACATTTTCGGAACTAAATTTGACCAAAAAATGCAACGAAAATGTTTTTAAATTCACCTTGAAAAAGTTAGCTTTGGAGCGAGTCTCTTCTCACAATTATCAAGGAGCAGAGTTCCTAAATATATTTGAGCTTGTTTTCACCGGGTGCCTTCCCTGGTGAGTGGGGGGGGGGGAGGGGTGGGGGGAGGGGAGGGGGGGGGAGGGAGGGGGGAGGGGTGGTGGGGAAGGGTGGTGGGGAGGGGTTGAAGGGAAGACGCCTTTGCAGTCAGGTCCAGGCGCCGAGGACGTGCTTCCTGAATGTGGAACGATTTGTCGTCTTCTTCAAGAACACACTCTCTCTCTCTCTCTCTCTCTCTCTCGAGAGAGAGAGAGAGAGAGAGAGTTGAGATAAAATAGTCGTGTGTTGCTTCTCAAGCTTATATATATATATATATATATATATATATATATATATATATATATATATATATATATATATATATATATATATATATATATATATATATATATATATATATATATATATATATATATATATATATATATATATATATATATATATATATATATATATATATATATACACACATCTATGTCTCTCCTACTTCGAGAGGGTAAGATAGCTTCAATAAACACTAGTGTGATATTAAACACTTAACCTCAGGTTATAGGTGCATACATTGTATAACAGATGAATTATATATTGTATAAGTACAATACATTGTATAACAGATGTATTACATAATCAATCTTGGGTACAAGTCAAATATATCTTCAAATGTTCCAATATTCATACAGTATATACAGAGTTCAGCATACCTCAGCCCAGGAGGGCGAAAGGCAGTCAATATGGGATCTATTACAATATAATGTTCAGGGGTATAGACGTATCTGGCAGCCTTCTCACAAACCCCAAATGTGGAATACATCATGTGTGTCAACTTTGTGACAGAGAAAACATGCACTCCCTTAGTGCAAAGAAGTGCGAGGAGCGCGCACTCGTGTCAGCCCATCAGTCGCCTCCAGAAGAACACGGCCGGGCGCTTCGCCGCGACTCCTCCCTCTCACGGTCAATTGCAATCAGTATTATATTGTTTCTGTTGCAAAAAGAGATAAGAAGTACTAGCACTTAATCAGTGCATGTAGAATATTTGGGTTATATGTCGCCCAAAACGGTAAATGTGTTGTGGTGACTGAGAGTGTGAGCAAGCGATGGCTGCCCTGTGAGGAGACTGGCCTGCCTACCCTGGGGTCCGAATGCTTCTGGCTAAGCAAAACCGCCACAAATTGCAAGCAATGTCAAGACTGTGAAAACGCTTTGACTGAACACGGGTACCAGTACTTAACTTCCCTGCATGTTGCAGGAAGGGTAAGCGAGCTCTAGCGTAAAAGTGCATGTGAGAGAGTGAATGAATGAACGAGTGTGTGCGTGCTTAAGTGGTTGTGCCTCATAGCTATTGTACCTGTGGCATACCTCCTGACTTACCTGTGCTCTCGTCCTTGCTCTTAAAGCTGTGAATGGCGGGTGTTGCACCAGCTGTGGTTCAAGATCATTCCCATTTGTGTACCATGCGTGTAGATGCGTGAGAGTGCGTGCTGGCGGGTGTAGTTGGGTGTTATCACAGTGCCTCCTGCCCGGGGAGAGCCTACACGTTACACCTGGCCAGGCCCGCGTGTGTGTGTGCCTGCCTGCTGGCCTGCAGGACCTTCTCACCTGTGACATGCGCCTAGTGTGATGGCTTCGCCTAAACATAGGCGCATGAGACTACCACAACCCCATACACTACCACAACCCCATACACTACCACAACCCCATAGACTACCACAACCCCATACACTACCACAACCCCATATACTACCACAACCACCATAGACTACCACAACCCCATAGACTACCACAACTCCATACACTACCACAACCCCATAGACTACCACAACCACCATAGACTACCACAACCCCATAGACTACCACAACCACCATAGACTACCACAACCCCATAGACTACCACAACCACCATAGACTACCACAACCCCATAGACTACCACAACCCCATAGACTACCACAACCCCATAGACTACCACAACCCCCATAGACTACCACAACCACCATAGACTACCACAACCCCATAGACTACCACAACCCCATAGACTACCACAACCCCATAGACTACCACAACCCTTAGACTACCACAACCCCCATAGACTACCACAACCACCATAGACTACCACAACCCCATAGACTACCACAACCCCATAGACTACCACAACCACCATAGACTACCACAACCCCATAGACTACCACAACCCCATAGACTACCACAACCCTTAGACTACCACAACCCCATAGACTACCACAACCCCATAGACTACCACAACCTCATAGACTACCACAACCCCATAGACTACCTCAACCCCAAAACTCGTGACCAACCCGTTCTCTTAAAAATAACGTCGCTTTTCGCTCGTATGCGCGCTATGGCCGAAAGTGGACGCAATTTGAAATGAAACACTCACAAAAGTGACGTACTGTCCCGTTTTTTGTTTGAGTCGTCCGGCTTACTCGGTAAGGTTAGAAGAGGAAACTTTCAATTAACGTTTTTCATAACGGTTTGAAACTTTATGGAAATTTCCTGCCCACCTAACCCACCAGAGGACCCTTAACTTACTATTGTTGAAAAAAAAATCCCAAATTTATTTTCATTTTCAAATTACGTCCACTTTCGGCCATACTGGTAAACGGCCAAAAGCGACTTTATTTTTAAGAGGACAGGTTGCAAGGCTTCTCGGCTGGAGCAGCATGCAATTACCATCAATAATGTCTCCTCACTCAAGTTTTATACAAGTGTATCCCTCGTGTTCAAACACTGATGCCCTTATACATCACTAGTACATGTCCTTTTCCAGCGAAGTATTTATGGTTTATAATCGTGCCTGATAATATGCATATTTGGTATATATTTCCACGTGTGTTTCCGTCAACCTTACCTCTCCAGTGAACGCCCCTCCAACCTTCAACCTCAATATTCTCACCAGACACTTTCACGTTTAGTCTGTAACTGTAACAAAAATGTGTATTGAAATGTGTCTCTCTCTCTCTCTCTCTCTCTCTCTCTCTCTCTCTCTCTCTCTCTCTCTCTCTCTCTCTCTCTCTCACTCTCTCTCTCTCTCTCTCTCTCTCTCTCTCTCTCTCTCTCTCTCTCTCTCTCTCTCTCTCTCTCACATGCATTTCTACTGTGGTTATTTACAAATGCCTTTCTTGCTTTCCAGGATTGTAGATGTACACGATAAGAGAATAGTGTTATGAGGAAAGTGTCGTGCTATGAGACCTTTGTGAGGAACCATGTGATGAATGGAGTGAGGACCTGGACTTGAAGGATGTAGGTGTAGTGAGGGTCTTCAATGACTACTCTCAGGCAGCGTCCATCTCGGAACACACATTCCACTACTCTTGTGAGTCTATAAGTGTATAAAAAAATCTGTGTATTTTGATAAAGATTGAAAAACATAAATTAGTGGAATTTGGTGACGTTTACAAAATTGTGGTGAAAGTCATTATATGCCGTGACAAATTATTTAAGATGTAAATAATGTGTTAAAAGTTTTGCTTGAAAATTCAGTAAGATAAAAATCATTTGTGGTGGGAGTGTAAAAGAGAGTAGAGTGGCGGGTAGTGCAGCGTCTTAGCGTGCGTGGCGAGCTCCTCCTCCAGACACGCTGGAGTCCAGCCTCAACACTCAGCCACTTTAGAAAAGTATTGTGCATTTAGTATTTCCGAGACGCGAGGAACGAACCCTCCCAGCGACCATTACTGGAGCCTTCCTGGGCAGCCGGTGACTTCCTCAGTAGCAGGTGCTCCTCCCCAGCTGTTCACACCCAAAGTGGCTGACTGCTAGTGTGTGTGTGTGTGTGTGGCGACCAGTGGCAGGGGCAGCAGCAGCAGGAGGCCGGGGTCATGGCTCGGTGACGGGGAGGCAGGGAGAGAGGCCAGCACACACTACTGCAGGAGGAGGAGGAGGCTGGCAGGCGGCCGACGACAGATGAGCAGCAGCAGCAGCAGCAGCATGACGCCGTCGTCGGTGGGTGGTGGTGGTGACGGGGAGGTGCGGGTCTCACGGGTGCTCTTCACCATGCGCTGGCGCTTCATGAGCCAGATCCTGCTCGCCCTCCCGGTCGTCGGCATGTTCATCTGCCTCATCACCTCCGTCATCTTCCACTCCGACCACATCAACAACACTATATGCAAGGTCAGTCCACTCGCGCTCTTCCACTCTAATGTTGTCTGTTGCAGCACACCGCGCCAGGTCTCCCTCGCGAAGGTTGAGGCCGATAGCATACCCGTTGTCAACTTATAATGACGACACATTTGTTATCCTAAGTTGGATTAAGGTGATGAGGGAGGCGTCACGGGAGACTGGCAGACTGAAGATAAGTTCCCCCCACCATGTCTTAAGGTCTTACCCGCCTTCTCGTATTGACGTGGCAACAGTTATATTCTCGCTCCTAGCATTAGTCTTCAGAATTAATAAAAACGCATATCAATACTCTTCTCTTTTTCTCTTAATTAATGTTGATATATAAACGATTACTATTTTGTGTGTTGAGTCAACAATGAACTTGGGAAGGGATGGGAATTATCAGGGAAACCGCCAAGTCATTACGGCTATATAGCACTTGGAAGGGGTCAGGACAAGGATTTGGGATGGGACGGGGGAAAGGAATGGTGCCCAACCACTTGGACGGTCGGGGATTGAACGCCGACCTGCATGAAGCGAGACCGCCACTCTACCGTCCAGCCCAAGTGGTTGGACATGAGAAGCTGCAGCTAAAGCTGGGTCTCCGTGCCCTTATTGACAACGAGAACATTCGCTCCGCTGTAAACTTCTCCAGCAAGTACCTTAATCTTATTTCTAATTAATATTCAGTATTAATTATTCAGAATTATCTGTAAACAGAAATAACCTTTTTTTTTTACTTTTAACAAACTTTACATTTATACTTAAAGATATCAGATTACTTTTGATAATTTGTTGCTTTTGCTGGGCTTCAGACTAGGGCAGTGGCGTAGCAAGTCTAGACCAAGGCTCTAGCCTAACAAAACACAGCTAGACCAAGGCTGTAGCTTAGCACAGCTATGCCAAGTCTGTATCTTGGCACAACTATACCAAGGCTGTAGCCTGGCACAGCTTGACCAAAGCCGTAGCATCACACAGATATATCCAGTTCGTAGCCTAGCACATCTATACCCAGTTCGTAGCCTAGCACAGCTGTTCCCAGTTCGTAGCCTAGCGCAGCTATACCCAGTTCGTAGCCTAGCACAGCTGTTCCCAGTTCGTAACCTAGCACATCCATACCCAGTTCGTAGCCTAGCACAGCTGTTCCCAGTTCGTAGCCGAGCACAGCTGTTCCCAGTTCGTAGCCTAGCACAGCTGTTCCCAGTTCGAAGCCTAGCACAGCTGTTCCCAGTTCGTAGCCTAGCACAGCTGTTCCCAGTTCGTAGCCTAGCACAGCTGTTCCCAGTTCATAGCCTAGCGCAGCTGTACCCAGTTCGTAGCCTAGCACAGCTGTTCCCAGTTCATAGCCTAGCGCAGCTGTACCCAGTTCATAGCCTAGCGCAGCTGTTCCCAGTTTGTAGTCTAGCACAGCTGTTCCCAGTTCGTAGCCTAGCACAGCTGTTCCCAGTTCGTAGCCTAGCACAGCTGTTCCCAGTTCGTAGCCTAGCGCAGCTGTACCCAGTTCGTAGCCTAGCACAGCTGTTCCCAGTTCGTAGCCTAGCACAGCTGTTCCCAGTTCATAGCCTAGCGCAGCTGTTCCCAGTTTGTAGTCTAGCACAGCTGTACCCAGAATGCAGATTGCAGAGCGCAAACTCCTCACAATAAGAATGATGGATAACAACAACTATGTTCTTAGAACATTGTACACAAGACAGTTCCACAAAACTTGTTTGCAAGTTAGGATGCATTATAATGCGTAGGTTTAGCTCGGTTGGTTTAGGTTAGGTTTGGTTGGGTTGAATTGGTTGTGAAACCTGTTTACCAACTTTCTTGCGTACGATATGACTGGAATATATCTGATCGTATTTGTGCTCGCTCGTGGCTCACTGCAGAGCCACGGAAAAAAAATCTGTTTCCCAGGACTTGTCTCGGGAACAAATTGGTGCATTGGCCGGGCCATTTGGGGACGAACCCGCGCGGTCTTGGCGCGCATTCAAAATCTGGCTGAAGCTAATGAATTGTTATATTATTCAAGTCAGGTGAATGTGTCCTCCAGTTAGTGTTTCTTGCCATATCCTTAAGCTGGTTTTTGAGGGGAATATTCCATTAAATGTACAAAAAAAGCTATCTGTGTAGGTCCTGTGAAGTGAGATCATGGGGCGCCTGTGAATAGCGGAGAGCGACGCGTTATGAGTTTAGAACGAGTCTCTGATTTTCTGATATTCGTACGTTTTTAGTTCGTGTCGATGGTTTATTTTCGGTAAAGGAAAAACGCCAAGATAACCTAGGTTATTGTGGCGTAGCTTAAGGGAAGGGGAAAGGAAATATCAAGAGAAAGCGCCAAGCCATTTCTACTATATAGCGCTGAGAAGAGGTCAGGATAAGGATTTGGGATGGGACGGGGGGAAGGAATGCTGCCCAACCACTTGGACGGTCGGGTATTGAACGCCGACCTGCATGAAGCGAGATGTTCGCTCTACCGTCCAGTCCAAGTGATTGGGTGATAAAGGTATTCTCTAAGGTAAAAACAACCATTTTTTTGAGCCTCTATAAAGCAACAAACCAACCCACGACCAACATTGATTTTCCCGACCTTTTTGCGTGGGTTGACTGTGGTGTGTGCAGGGGTGACCTCCCCGGGCTCACCCGCAGGCTGACACCACTCCGGCAAGTTGTGACTGCGGGGGAACCTCTGAGGACCATTTCATTTCGTGTTGATATCGTATTATTCCCCCCCCCCCGTTTGGTTCAAGATCCTGCGAAGCTGTAAATTGACTTAAAGATGTTTTATATAGTGCGTGCGTGGTGTTGAAGGCGCATTATCTCGTGTGACCGGCAAACACGACTAATTATATATTAGAATGTTTTAGACTTGGATTTTGACTTCACGTTTTCTTTAATCTTTATTGACTCAAATATTTTTTTCAGTTCTTTTTCTTAGTTTCTGTTTTTACTTTTTTTCTGTCTAATATCTCCCAACATTGCAGGAGCTCCCAACATTACACGAGCTCTCAACATTGCAGGAGCTCTCAACATTACACGAGCTCTCAACATTACACGAGCTCTCAACATTACACGAGCTCTCAACATTGCAGGAGCTCTCAACATTGCAGGAGCTCTCAACATTGCAGGAGCTCTCAACATTACACGAGCTCTCAACATTGCAGGAGCTCTCAACATTACACGAGCTCTCAACATTGCACGAGCTCTCAACATTACACGAGCTCTCAACATTGCAGGAGCTCTCAACATTGCAGGAGCTCTCAACATTACACGAGCTCTCAACATTGCAGGAGCTCTCAACATTACACGAGCTCTCAACATTGCAGGAGCTCTCAACATTGCAGGAGCTCTCAACATTGCAGGAGCTCTCAACATTGCAGGAGCTCTCAACATTGCAGGAGCTCTCAACATTGCAGGAGCTCTCAACATTGCAGGAGCTCTCAACATTGCAGGAGCTCTCAACATTACACGAGCTCTCAACATTGCAGGAGCTCTCAACATTGCACGAGCTCTCAACATTGCAGGAGCTCTCAACATTGCAGGAGCTCTCAACATTGCAGGAGCTCTCAACATTGCAGGAGCTCTCAACATTGCAGGAGCTCTCAACATTGCAGGAGCTCTCAACATTGCAGGAGCTCTCAACATTACACGAGCTCTCAACATTGCAGGAGCTCTCAACATTGCAGGAGCTCTCAACATTGCAGGAGCTCTCAACATTGCAGGAGCTCCCAACATTACACGAGCTCTCAACATTGCAGGAGCTCTCAACATTGCAGGAGCTCCCAACATTACACGAGCTCTCAACATTGCAGGAGCTCTCAACATTGCAGGAGCTCTCAACATTGCAGGAGCTCCCAACATTACACGAGCGCTCAACATTGCACGACCGCTCAACATTTAAATGGCACTACATTTTGGTAACAGTGATGAAGATAGTGTATAGTGATAATTTTTACAGCTCTGATGGTCGTTTGGATTGTATTGAAGATAACTACAGTGATGATGGTTGCGTGTAGTGTAGATGGTTACAGTGATGAAGACAGTTTGTAGCTTCAGTGAGGATAAATTCGAGCGATGAATGGCGTGTGTAGTGTAGCAGTGTAGGAACTTGCTGTGGTGAAGATGATGCGGAGACGTGGCCTCCATTCTTCACCCGAGCAGTGCCGGGTACACCACATACTCGCCTACATATTAGATCTCTTCTGACACCTTCACTCTGCCAGACGACTCCTGCTCTCTCTCTCTCTCTCTCTCTCTCTCTCTCTCTCTCTCTCTCTCTCTCTCTCTCTCTCCCTCCCTCCCTCCCTCCCTCTCCCTTCTCGTTGCAGCTGGCCACAAGTTTAGTGAACTTAATTTTGATTGGCGGCTGTAAGATTTGAAATGTGGTTAGGTGGAAGAGCTGGCCAATAAATACTGTCGCGGAAACACGGATCAAAGTTATAATTGGTCAGGTTGCAGTAGCTTGGGCCATGATTGGCCAATTTGTAGTATCCTGTTTTAATTGGTCAACGTGGCTTGTTTAATACGGAGTTTGGATAATTGTTTACTTGTTCCTTCCACTCGCTGAAAGTACCCTCACATCTGGACTTCCCCCCCCCGTGCTCACATCTGTACCCCCGGGGCTCACATCTGTACCCCCGGGCTTACATCTGTACCCCCGGGCTTACATCTGTACCCCCGGGGCTCACATCTGTACCCCGGGCTCACATCTGTACCCCCCGGGCTCACATCTGTAACCCGGGGCTCACATCTGTACCCCCGGGCTCACATCTGTACCCCCGGGCTCACATCTGTACCCGCGGGCTCACATCTGTACCCCCGGGGCTCACATCTGTACCCCCGGGCTCACATCTGTACCCCCGGGCTCACATCTGTACCCCCGGGGCTCACATCTGTACCCCCGGGCTCACATCTGTACCCCCGGGGCTCACATCTGTACCCCCGGGCTCACATCTGTACCCGCGGGCTCATATCTGTACCCCGGGCTCACATCTGTACCCCGGGCTCACATTTGTACCCCCGGGGCTCAC